GATTAGTGATGATTATAGATTAGTGATGATTATAAATTAGTGATGATCATAGAATAGTGATGATTATAAATTATTGATAATCAGATTTATGATGATAGATTAGTGATTTATAATTTTGTAGTGAACTTGACCTGATGTTTAGTGATGATTATAGATTAGGGATGATTATAGAATAGTGATGATCAAAGATTAGTGATGATTATAGATTAGTGAGGATCATAGATTGGTAGGAAGTTTGATTTCTCACCTAGGAGTTAAATTTAGTGCATTTCTCTCTGAAGTCATGTGCTGCTGTGCAGGCTTGAAAAACTACCTCGTTACCTGGAACGTGTGTTCTGCCAGGTGCTATTTGCCATCTCTTTTTTCCCTTCACACACACACACTCTCTCTCACACACTCTCTCTCACACACACACACACACACACACACAGAGAGACATAAATTACCTCCACAGCGCCTCTCCTCCTGACTGGAGCGTGCGATGGAGACTTCTAGCAGAGAGAGAAACACAAACCCCAGCAGTGTTAGAGCTGAGAACCTTCTGCACACGATCCTCCATGCTGCCATGTCAAAATGTTCTCCTGAAGGTGAAGCAGCTCTCGATACAAAACCGATAATCGTTAAAAACTCTGCAAGCTAATCAAAGCTGCAGCACCTGGAGAGGTTTGTGAAAACGATCAGTTCCCATTAAAAGCAAATGAAGTGCAAGATGTTGCTAATGAACCTAAATGGACTTCCTCTCCCATAAAAGTGGATGGATGGAAAGATAAAAAGATAAAAACAGGTAATTCTGTACCAATCTCTGAAGATTTTTATGATTATTTTATCCCCAGTAATTAACACAGAATGTTACAAACATGTTCTCTAACTATCTTTCAGACCGGAGGCAATGTGTTCAACATAATGGTACTTCCTCCAGTTATTTAACAGTCAACAATGGTGTACCACAAGGCTCAGTCTTAGGACCCACCCTCTTTACAATCTACATACATAATGTAGGTAAAAACATCCCTAATGCATCCATACATTTCTGTGCTGATGACACAGTTGTTTATTGTCGAGCTAAAACTGTTGCTAAGGCTTTCCAGCTTTTGAAATCTGCATTCAACAACATCCAGACTGATTTGTTTCACCTCAAACTTGTCCTAAATGCTGATAAAACCAAAGGGATGCTTTTTTCAAATAGGAAGTCAGTCCCAGCAGTTCTTCCTCTGATTTTATCCTCAAATGGTGTCCCCATTGAGTTTGTTGATTCCTATAAATATTTGGGTATCTTGGTCGACTCACATCTCTCTTTTAAGCTCCATGTGGAAAACTTGGTAAAGAAACTGAAAGTTAAACTGGGTTTCTTTTTCAGAAACAGATCCTGTCTAACCCTGAATGTTAGGAAACACCTTGTATCTGTGACTTTCCTTCCCTCCATTGATTACGGTGACATTATTTACATGAACGCTCCTACAAGAACCCTGCAGATGTTGGATGCTGCAGATGTTGGATGCTGCAGATGTTGGATGCTGCAGATGTTGGATGCTGTCTATCATGGTGCAGTAAGATTCATAACTGGCTGTGATTATCGTACCCACCACTGCACCCAGTATTCACTGGTTAACTGG